TGTAATTCCAAGTGTCGCTCTAATCCAGCCTTAACATTTTGTCACGTGTAGCAAGCATTATTCTTAGCTTCTTTTCCATAGAAACGTGCAACTTTCTCATGAAAATATATTAATTAATGACTCACTCACACACACATACACACACAGAGAAACTCTCATAGGAAAAAGTGTGGAACTTTAGCAGCCTATCTGAGTGCTTGATTGTGTGTGGTGGGGTAAGTGCACTTTAGCAAATCAACAGCCTTCAGCAATTTATGTGCTGTGGCAATGGTATCACACCTATGCATCTTTTTGCTGCCTTCAGTCACATACACCTGTAATTTTCGCTGGCAACAAAACGAGCATTAGCTGCCAAAACAGCCCAGCACAATTTGTTGGAACCTTCAAGTTTAGACAACGACAGCTCAGATCCAGGAAGGAACTGTTGAGGTTGCGTTTGCGGCAGCGGCTGATGCAACTGATTGCAGTTTCTAACTGCAACGTTGCAATAATTTTGTAATTTCTCACTCACTTAATTTAGCACAATTAATCTCAATTTTAGCTGTCAACTGCACCACACCGATGGGGAGCTTTGGCTAAGACAACGGCCTCGTGCGAAGAGCCAGTCCTAAACTGATCGCCACGCATGTGTCTGATGGTGCGGCGGTTGCGTCTGTGGCTCAGCTAGTGGGAATCTTCACATAAATATTGGACTGCCGTTATGTTCCATGTATAATTTGTCACTCGAAATTAATCTACGAACGACTTGAACGCTGGTGCTGGGCGATTTTTTAAAGATCATCGCTCGCCATTTCGTAACACGCATGCCAGGCCAAGGCTTCTGACCGCATTTGATCTTCTGCCTGGCCTGCTGGCGGGTAGTCTGGTCTGGTCTGTGGTGCCCTGGCTCAGTTCTACTGTGACTTTTCGGCAGCATTGTTTATTATATCATAATGCCAGCTGCTAAGTGACTGTGACGGTCTTGCGGCCAGACAATAGCAATTGGGCCGGGTGTCGATGCCCCTCTCATTGTGTTGGCTCATTTTTGGAACTCAAACTCAAACCCAAACTTGAAACTCGGACTGGGGCTCGCCCATTAAGAGATGTTAGGAGGTTATTTAGTTATTTAAGTGTTGTTTTAATTTACATTCTGGACTGCGTTCCAGTGCGCGCTCATTTTTCGCCACATTTTGCGGTTTGGGCTTCGTGTTTTCAACATTTTCTTTTGCGGTTTAACAAATTTTCTAGTGATCTCTGCAAAGTCTTGTCTTTCATACAGGTTCTCTCGTCTTGTTGATGTTGACGTCGACTCATACACATGCTTAGATATAGATATGGACTTGGAACGTTAGCAAACACAGGGGGGTCGGTTGGTTGGCCGATGGTCGACGGTTGGTTGGTCGCCTGGTCGCTTGGTCGTTTGGTCGGGTTAGTTTCTGGCTTGGCATGGCTCATCGTTTGCTCCATTCCGTCCGCATTTATGGCAGTTGGCAGCGGCAAGGTGTTATTTTCATTTCTAGGTTACTGACCCATGTCATATGTGTGTGGAAAATTCAATATTGCTGTGAAAAATACTTACACAACTATTAAATAAAGACATGGCAATGCCTTGGCCCATCGCAGGCTGTGGCCTGTGGCCCAGCTTAGTATCTTCGCTTGGTACTTAATAATTACGCTCATTTCATGCATGCAATGTTTGGATTCCAGTGAATCTTGCCATCGCCCTGGCCACTGCTCACCACCGCACCCGTCCCCGCCTCGGCCTCCACCACAACCCGGCAACTAGAACTACATAGAGCTATGGCTTTTCTAGCATCGGCTGCTACTGTGTGCGGTAACCTTCAAGTTAACATGGAACAAATGAAAAAATTCTTCGACAGCTGCTGTTGACTGTTGCAGCCACTTTTCTGCGCTTTTCCCTGGCTTAATTAATTACCACATTCCAAAGGTTTTAGCTATTTTTCTGCTAACTTGTGTGTCCATATATGTATCTGGATGTGCATGTGTGTTCATGTGTGTGTGTGTGTGTGCGATGGTCTATACGTGATTATAACTGTCTGCGTGTGCTGGCTGTCAGATTTCCGCTTGTGTGCGCCAAGTGCGGAACCAAATACGAACGACTTAAGACACAAACTCGATTTTCACCCATCACAAGTTCGCACACTTCCTACTCAAATGGTAATCGATTGAGTTCGCACATGTCATTTGACGCGCTTTTGTGGCACTGCTGGCAGCATAAGATTACAATGAATGAAAATGACATGATGTGCACGCCAAGTGAGCAGACCAGGCCAAGAAGACATCTCTGTAGAGCTGCATGACAAATTGCGACCTATTAATCTCGCATGGACTTTCACTTTGGCCAGGCCCGCACATCTTCTAAGCCCTGACGCGGCCCCTCCACTATATTATGCAAATGTCAATCAGCTGCGTACAGTTGACATTGACAGCAGGATCGGGCCCAGTTAATGCCATGGGCCATGCCTAATCAGCCGCAGCATAATTGCCAATATATATTGGCATCAACAGCAATGTGAGCAGCAGCAGCATCAGCAACAGCGTCTTAGACTTTTTCTAATGTATGCTGGCCATTTGAATAAACGATTTTTTCTTCGATTTCATTCACGTGTAAACGATTAATCAAGTCTCTAGCAACGATTGCCACTTAGACTGGGGCTGGTCCGACTCAGCTGGCCCCTGGCTTGGACTTTTCTCTAGCTTTGGGGCCGGGCGGGCTGCGTTTGTCTCAGCCCGGAGTTTTGTGCCGAGGCTATATGGGTCAGTAAGGTGGTATTTTTCGGGCATAAAACAGCCGCTTAATTTCTGTTTTGGAGTTTATGCCAAATTGATTGGTGCGAATATAAAGATAAATCTCATGCAGAGCGTTAAATAAATGTATTTATGGGGTTTTAGAAATCTTAATAGCTTAATATTGTATTAATAAAGTTTATAACAACATGTACTCAAGGCTTGTTGTTTGGCTTAGTCAATTAATGCATAGAAACGAAAATCTCGATGATTTATTGTATTGAAATATTTGTTCAGGCTAATGCTAAATAATTAATAATGTTCCTCTATTCAGTTCGTAAACAAATGCCAAACTGTTATAATTGGGAATGAATGAAAAGATAAAGTACTTGACGAAAAACAAAAAGACACAAAATCAACGCTTGCCCAAAGTCTTACAGTCACTTTCATTTTCTTTTCATTGGCGATAGTTTGCTAACAGCTTCAAACACTTGACAAGCTAAACACCCCTCGAAATAATATGGACAGTTGAAATGCAAAATTCGTGCACGTGCCCTCCAGTCAATAAGTGAACGTTCATGCTTTCAGCTTTGCCCACTTATTTTGGTCGTTTTTGGGTTTTACATCGCAAACGAATATGATTCTTAGGGATTTAACATTTGGAATCTGTATATTTTTATTATACATAACAAGACACATAGCCAAATATTCACCTGTTGATATTTCGTTTAATCAAACTTTTAGTTTGGGATATATCATTTTATATATGATTATAATCAAGCTGTAGCATATCTTAAATATATTTTGTATTTCTGTATCGTAAATTCATTCCGTTTTGCATTTGGACATTCCACTTAATTAAAATTGAATTCAGTCTGATTAATGATTGGTTTACACTGGCGCAGAGCTGATGCCAGAGTAGCACAGAAGTTATCAGCAATCGGTGTTAAGTATTCTGTCACTAAATTGCTCAGTCAGATCTGATCTGGAATGTCATCTTTTAGCTGGAGCAGTCAGCCATGAATTAATATCTTACCTTACCAGTCTCATATTCATTGTCGCCAGCTGTGCTTGTGTTAGTGTCGAAGCGCAGCTCTTCAGTTCAGTTCATTGAACTGTAACTATCGTTGAATGAAGTTAGAATGGTTAACATGAGACTCTCCATATTGACAAATCGATTTGGCGATTGAGATCGTCATTTGATCGCAGCGGCTAACTTTACTCATGTCACATTAACTATTCGAACTATCAATTGTCAGAGATCAGTGATCGTTTATCAAAAGAGTTGAGAGCTGTAGGAGGTGCGATCACTTTCGTATTATTTAGAACGCTAAGCTTATTGTGCACTGAGAGAAATGCGACTCCATCACATAATATTTCCCCATATTACAATCCACATTGTGCCCTCATAATCCGTGGGTGTCAATCACCAATTTGTGATTCATTGAAGCACAATAGCCTGCACTCAGCACAAACCAATATTATATAACCGTTACACTGATAGCTCATAAGAAAGCCCCGAAAAAAAATCACATAAAAAATCTTTAACACTGACCCACTTTCAAAATATAGTGAGTCAATAAAGAAACCGCACACTGACCAAATACGGCTTGCGTTAATATGGAGATTAAATAATCGTACGACTCAGGCTTCAATTTATGTCTCAGTCTTTAGACGCAGACGTAGACACAGTCTCAGCATCAGCATCAGGCTCAGACTCAGCCTCAGCCTCAGCCTCAGCCTCAGCCTCAGCCTCAGCCTCTGAATCATGAATCACCCACACGGGCGGGCGGGCTTGCAAAATAACTGGCAAGTGACCAACAGTGACAACAGCACTGGGATTGCGGCCAAACCAAAAGAAAAGTTGTTAAAATTTATATACATAGATATCACACGCCTGGGGGGTCGAGGTCGCCAAACCGTAAACATTTATATACACTCGTACACTGGTACTCTCGCACCACTCGTCGTTCACTTATCAATATGCAAGTTAAGAGTTTCGATGTTGTTGTTTCTACTGCTGCTGGCTTGGGGGCTTCCAATCAGCTGTTCGACAAAAGACTTAAGGCACAAACTTGTCCGTCATAAATCTCTCTTTGGACTCGCACGCTCGCTCTCGTCTCTTGCTCTTGGTCTCTCTTTCTTTCTCATTTTGCTTCTCTCTGGCGAGCCGCGCTGTGACTCCAACTCTCTTTGGGCATCTGGCAAGACGGTTAGCGGCGCAAGTGGCGCAGTTTTATGCGCTGGCTGCTGCTTTGCCGGCCGCAGTTTGGTTTACACAGCGCACGAGTGCGGATCGGGTTCGGATACGGTTACGGACTTGATTTTGATTACCGTTGCGTTTGCGAGCCTGCAAATTTTGAACTGTCGACGCGTTGCCAATTCTACCGAAGTAGCAGCAGCCGCAGCTGTTCAGTGTCGCATTGGAACGCAATTTGATTGCCACCGGCTTTCTGGTTATTGATTTCTAAAAGGTGCCTCAACTTTATAACACTTATCAAAAGTTGCCTGCGGCTACAGACCTAGCCAAAGTCACAAGACGCAATCAATCAAAAAGACGCATAAATTTTTGAAAAATTTCTGAAATGAAATCGATCGACAAAAGTTAATGCCATTCGCGATCATCGATTGAACATAACCAAAATTAGTGTACAGCAAAAAATAAAGAGAAAAAAAACACACACACACTCGTCGAAATCAGTCAGTTAAAAGTGAGAGTTTTCCACGCTTTTTAGGTAATTTTGCTGTTATCTGTTGCCTTCTTTTTTTTTTCTTTTTTATTTTACCTTTTGCTTTTCGTCGGTTAAATAAACTTGCGACTCAATCACGACTAATTGCGCATGCGCGGCCGCTTTATGCGTATTTAAAGTGCCGCCTATATTACAAAACCGGAGCCCAGCTCTGGTATCTGGCCCCGTCTGGCTCTTTGGGTGCTTAATATGCGTGTCACGTTGCCGGCCATCAAGTTCAAATTGCATTCGCTGTCAACGCATTGCAACATGGTACGTTGTAGCTCCAGCAGCCACAGCAGGCGCAGCAGCCCCAACAGCGGCACGCGTTGAAATTTTGAAATTAACACTCAATGCCCCGATGCTGTATTGGCCTGGCAACTGGCGCAACTGGAGCAACTGCTAATTAAGAAATAAAATTTATCAGTCGACGCGTTGTGCGTGAAAGCTGACAAAAAGGATAACAGCAAAGCAAGTGCCCGTCAGGCTGACTGGCTAACTGGATGGCTGGCTGGTTGGCCAGGCGAATGACCTGTGCACAGGTTTTGTTGCATTTTGCATGCCGATAACTCTGTCAGCGACATGCACACTAATTAGTTCACATTTGTGGCATACAGCTGCACATACAGCACTCGACTTGGCACTTGTTAACATTGGGCGACGTCGTCTGCAGCAGCTGCTGTCGCCTTTGCTAGTATAATAAATAGAAGAAAAAATAAATAAGCAAAATAACAAAAACGCAGGCAAAAGTGAGTTAATACTCGTATTGTGGTGCCCGCTGCTGCTAGCCAGCTAGCCAGCCATCCAGCTAGCTGGCCAGTCAGCCAGTCAGCCAGTTTTTCAGCTGTGCTGCAAGTTGTGCTGGCCAGTAGGCCTGCTCCTGACTGTCAAATGAAAACGCTGGCTTGCACTGGGCATTGGTGTTGGTGTTGCTGCTGTTGCTGTTGCTGTTGCTGTTGCTGTTACTGTTGCGGTCAGATGCTGGCGAGTTACTCGTAAAGCATTTAACTGCAAAGCTAATGCTCTCACAAAGACATGAACTAATACACACTCTCACACATACACACGCACACCCTGCTCACAACCATACAGGTGCAGTTAATTAATTTCTTTGTTGTTCTCTACGGTAAATCATGCCACATTGGTGTTAGTGCTGCTGTTGCTGTTGCCTCTGCCAGAAGCAGAAGTCGTACCGTTTGAGACATTTCGCAAGACAGAGAATAAGAATGCCACTTAGAAGCTGGCCCGTGCAACGTCCCGAGTTGTTCTCAGTTGCAATCTCTCTTTGAGTCTGTTTATTGAATAGTTGCTGTGAGTTTTCGCGTTGCACTCGACGACGAAGTCTTTTGTTGCTGCTACTTGAACTGCATTTGCATATAAATTAGTTTTGATACCAAAAAGCAAAACAAAGGCAACAAACAGCTAAAACTCTGACTTAAGTTAACGCTAAGGCGCTAGGCTACTAGAAAAAAAAAATAGAAGAAGAAGAAGAAAAATAGTAGTAGCAACCACTAACAGTTTGATGTTTGTTCTTCGAATGCGTTGCGAAAATCAACTTGGGGCCTGGCTAACGGTTCTCATTAAGTGAAGTACAACGGCGACAGCATTTGAATAGCAGCACTTTTAGTGGGAACAACCACCACACACGACACCACGGTGGGGCCGCGACAGATGCCGAGAGCTGCAGACAGGATGAAGCGATAAGTTGGCAATAAAAATTGGCAGCACTTTGGCACATACGACAAACAAAAGACTTAGGAAACGAACTTGCTGCTATAACAGACATTGCAGCAGCAGCAGCCATGGCAACAGCAACAGCCAGAGAGTAATAGCGGCATTTGAGCCAGTTAATTGTTAATTGTTGACAAGTTCTCGTTGTCTGCAAAACGAAAAGAAGTGCAAATGTACGTTTAATGAGCAGCAACTGTGGTATCTGTGGTGTTTGTGGTTGCGTCTTCCATTGCAACTGAGATGGGAAGCTGGTGGCTGAGACTCTGCTGCTGTTGCTGCTTGTGACAGTAAGTGCAAGGGAATGATTTGCTTGGCTGGCAACTTGCGCAGATAGGAGAAAACTCAACGTCGAATTAGTGTCTAAGAGAAAACAAATTCAGGCGGTATAAAAAACAATCCAAATAGCGATCTTACAGTTACAGTTGACAGATTAGCTGCCAGATGAAACTATGTGCATTTTGCATTCATTCATTTTGTACTTTTTTTAAACAAGTTTTATTAATATTTTTTGTAGATTCATAAAGTTTTATATGTCTACCATAATAAATTATATAAAGGCTTTAAAAATGCTGTCACTGAAAGACGAAATCGGCCAAACGGTAGATTCGTATTTAATTTCCAATGCCCATAGGTGTTTCACATAAAAAGATTAGCATCCAGTTCTGCCCACCTGATCTATCCAAGCGTTCCAGCTACCTGCACTAACTAGTTCGTTTGTTTATTTGAATTTTAGTGGCCGTTTGTTTGTGTGTGTGTATTTTTTTGGCTATTCCATTTAGCATTTCGTGGCACATCAAATGCAAATACGACAGGCCCAAATAGGGTCACCGAATGTGTTTTCGAGCTGCACCTTATCTCAAAGTTTATCGACATATTTTTTGCATAAATTCCCAAGCGTTTTATTTGATTTTGCTCGCTGAGTTGCTTATAACGTATATAATTATGTTTTATTTTGTAGAAATTGGACAGAGAAAGGCGAATCAACTCACAAGCGGACCCTTGCTGGAAAAGTGAGAAGCAATCAAACAAAAATAAAAGGAAAACTAAAATCGTAAATCAAAATTGTGCAATAAAATAAAAGCAAATATCGCATTTACAGATAATCGTAATAAAAAAGGAAACCGAAAAAGAAAAAGAATAAACCTATGGTCTTAAAACGAATTTAATTAAGACCAAGTCGAAAAGAAGTTGTGGTGAATTAGTTTTGATTGGAAGTGTTGGCGTGATTGTTAAGTTATTGCCCCATAAACTCGCCCACAAATATTTACTAAAGTTTATTGCATTCGAAAAAAGAAAAGAGTGAAAATCAATTAAACAAAATATTTGATTACCATTACTGGATCATACACGCAGTTATCGGTCGACTTGCTGTTCCACTAACCATGAAAACGTTGGAAAGTGTGCCGGTCGAACAAAATAATTAACGAAATCTGTGGAGAGCGGCACAGAAAAGTGCGAGTGCGTGTAAACCGAATCAAAATCCCAGTGGCCAAAATGGCAGCCAGTGAAAATCAAATTTGATTAGCTACAGCACCAGGTCATTGTTCTTTACGACTAGTGAAAATCAGTTCGCATTTAAGTAGCCCAAAAGTCTTCAAAGACATTCAACTATTATTTCTGTGCAACGATCCAAATACAGCCATTTATGTCTGGGAGCTTAATACTTAATTGAAAAGTCTAGTAAGTAAAAAAAAAAATCCAATTTACAATTTTTTTATATTTCTCCTCATTAAAATTCAAATTAAGTAGCTGGCATTTCCATTTTTATTTATAATAGAAGTTTTCAAATTGAAAAGTGTGATATTTCAATTTGAGAGATATGTTGTAAAATATCATTTTTATTATCAGTCAGCTCTTGATTATAACTATTTTTTTTGTCGACAGCCAATATAAGTTTCTCTTAGCTATGAGCCTAACGAATTCCAATGATGAGTTTATTAAGTTTTAATTCCAATTTGTTTGACAATCATTTGTAAGCGCTAGGCCTGAGTCCCACTGGGCCTCTTTCTTGTCTTCTTGTATAACAGATATGAACATAAACGTGTTTTTAATTGCTATTCGCTCATTTGTTTTAAACGTTTTCACATTCTAAACGAAAATTGCTGCTTAAATTTAATTTGATTGCTTCACTGCGTCGTCATAAAGTTGGATCAAGTTTCGTATACGTAATGTGACATTCTAATTTGCAAATGACTGTGTGAGCTTACGAGTTACTAGCATATCGATGTTTTGCAATAAAATTGTTTATAAACTATTGCGCATACATCAGCATAAGCGTATGTATGTGCGCAATGAAAGAGTCTGGCATATGCGGCGATTATCTCGGTATTACGATAATAAAACCTGAAGCCATCTTTCGCATTGAGTCAGTGCCAGTTACTAGTTGCTGGCAGGCTCTGTCATCCGCTGCGTGGCCGTATGTCGTTTTATTAGCGAAAGTCATCGAGCAGAATAATTGTTGCAATGCGGCTCCCGAAACTCTGCCCCTTGCCATTACGATTACCGTGCTCCCCCCCACGACGATTGCAATCAAGGCGCGCGCTCGTAAAACATAATTCCAATTCACTTGCGCGTAAAACGAATTTTTTTTCTCTTCTTCAGACGGCAAATTCGAGTGTGCGTGTGTGTGTGTATTTGTGTGTAACTTCATGTGAGTGTTGTTTGCTTTTGGCGAATCTTATTGCAGCTCAGCCAACAACTGTGACCGTCTTCGGATTATTATATAATTTTTGAACTCATTATTCCATTTGTCAAAATTTGTTTGCCATACCTCGGTCCCAAAATTGGCTAAATGCGCTAACATTTTCCTCGAGAAAATTATGAAATTACTTTTGCCTCAGCCGCAAACAGCCTTGGCTATAAACATGCACAGTTATATCATAGAGATGTGCTGCCACCGTTAACAGGCATGAGCTTCTAAGAATGAGTGTAGTCTAATCTGATAGCAAAATCCCACTATATTAAAATATGCAAACGAATGCATCTGCGTCTGAATATCCATTAATTATTCTTGGCTGACCGTAATAAAACTGCTAACGTAAAGATAGCTTAGGAAAATGAAAGAAAGATAATTCATAGGTGCAGTTATATATATACATACTAATATTATTACTTTTTTCTGGTTTTTGAAGTTTTTGTATGAGTTTGAATAAAAAAGAGTATATATATGATAGCTCTAAACAACAAACAAACATGCAATATAATTCAAATGATAAACAAATCCAATATATAAACCTGGTGATATAAAAACATGTCTAAAAATCGGAAAATAATATAAAAGAGAAATACTTTATCAAATATATAGTTTATAAACCTTTGATAAAGCCTTTCAGGGGCGTTTTACTTCAATAAAAGATATTGTCAACGGCGAGGTGTAGGTGTGTAGAGGACATTAAGATAAAAACTTTAGATTGTAATTAATTGGCATACTCACTTCATAAATATTTCATTTGTAGTCAATTTCATGCATTTTAGACAGGTCAGTCACATAATCAGTAATATAGAAAGCAATTCAAGGAGTGTGTAGCTCTGTGAGAATTATAAGCAAAATACATTAATAACAACTTTCTTTTGTTGTTGTTATTGTTTTCATTTGTTGTCGCTGTTGTTGTTGTTGGTGCTGTGTCATCACTGAGGCTAGGCCATTGACATGCAATGACATCACAGTTGTACCCGCACTCGCACTCGCACTCGACCATATAAACTACAAACTATAATTAATATGACCGCACAGCAAACTGACAATTACCAGTTTTGTTGAATGAATGTATGAATGAATGCGGTCTACTCGTTTATTTACAAGCGAGTATCTGTCTGTCTGTCTAATCGTGATTATCAATGGCCAACACTTACCAGTAAACCAATAATTATTTGCATTCAATTGACGAGCTGTTTATTATGACGCCTGAACGAAATCGCTTGACATAGTCTCAATACCCAGTCGCAGTCGGGATAGTGGGAAATACATGAAAATCATATTGTTTCAGCTCGTTGCAATAATGTGCATGAATAATCCAATATCTGGTCAACTTAGCTGGCTATTCACTTTAATTGGCTGTCTTCGCCCTGGGCCCTATTCAATTTACAGTCTGAAAATGAGACAAGTGAATGCTGATTGACCCACTGAGTCTGGAGCTGGGTAGTGGATGGATAATGGGTAATGGGCAACCGAATGCTCGGGGCGTGCTCGAGCATTGGCTGTGGGCACGGCAGCAACGTGCATTTCATGCAAATTACCTCTCCCTGGCTGGGTATGGCTGCCCTGGCCGGGTCTGTGTTCATTACAGACATTTAAAGACGTTTATTTTGAAGATTTTCACTTTCAATCTGTCAAATTGTCACACTCACGAACAGAGACTCGAGCCTCATTGTTCGATCTCTTTGTGGAGCATTCAATAATCAAAAGTGATTGCCGCACGATTTTATTTTACTTAACTTTTAACGTTTTCAACTTCCAAGTGGCCGGCATGTCAGATCTTGACAACAGTTACGATGACGATGGAGCTGGTTGCTGCGTATAAATATAGATATATGTGTGCATATATATTTTTTTGTTGGTTTGTGAATGACTTGGGCGCACTTGTTGGTGTTGCTCACTTCCGTAGCCCATGATCATGATTGATATTGAGTTGGATTTATGTTTCCCATTGTGATGGAGCCCTTTCCTTTTAAGGGTCTTTAATTTTCACTCCATTGAAACAGGTGCGACCGTTATGATATTGAAAATAAAGTAACTTATTTAGAATGGATCGCCATGAATAAACAGCTTGGTTGGGCCAATCAAGCTGGGAAGAGCGCTGCAAGTCCAAGAACAAATCAACTAGACAACTAAATCCATATTAATTATGTTGCTTTCGGCTCGAGGGTAAAATGAAATTATAAGAAGCCGCAGAACTCGACCTTAAAACCAGCAGCGTCATGCTGCTCTGCACAGGGCATAGAAAAAAGTAAATATTTGGACAATGGGAACAAGGCAAAAGGTTCCGCCGGGGTCGCTCTAAATGAGGAAAAACGCTGAAAACCAAACATAAACAAACAGACAGACAAACAAAAGAAGAACCAACAACAACAACAACAACAACAACAACGGCAACCACAACCACAATAACTGTGCTCTGGGCATTGGCCACTGGGTCTGAGAGGCTTAAGAGTGGTGCAGTCAAAGGTTCAAGTGCAGCTAAGCCGTCAGGTTGCATAGCACGGGGCCGGCCATTAGCTGAGGCAGGTTAATAAACCAGAGACACTCGCCAGCCGAGTGATTTATGTTTGTGGCCCAGTCTATGACACCTAACAGCTCGGCCGCGTGTTGCTTTTATTTCAGTACTCTCTGCCGCATGGAAAGTGCATGCAAACGATGCAGAGTCGAGCTCGCTCTGTTCCTTGATGGGCTCACCTTGCGTATGTGTGATGGCTGTTGATGTTGACGCACATAATTGATTAATGTGCAGCGTTAAAAGTTGCGGCTCAACAAATAGGCGCCAGGTGATAGCTAGACAGTGATAGTCGTCAGTTAATGGACAGCTAAATAAATAGAAAATTCAACTTCATTTAAAGCCGGCAAACACCTTTAATTACAATCTTATAGCTCAAGCGATATATTGCTTAGATTACTTAGGTTAGTTGGAATATCATAAAATTGACTTCATTTGAATTCAGATGAGCCTTACTTTTCTTTTCCATTGAATATGTTTAGAATATATTTTACTTTAGAAGTTTTGGGCAATCGATCTTAGCTCAAATAAATACATAATATTTATATTAATATAATAATCTGATTTATATCAAATCTCTTTTCATAATTGTTTAAAACGTATAGAAGCAAGCTTTTTGTGTGGTGCTTTAACAGTTTACTCATGTATTATTTGCGTAGACAATATTTATTACGTTAGCCAGTAAAAGCGATATTGATTTATAGGTACAATGACTTTTAATTCTCACTGTTCTGATCATCGTGGTCGTTGTCGTCGTCGTATCAGGCCCCAGGCAATGTGTGTTTCACATGGAGAAGCCACTCAAAAATTGTGTTTACGTTACGCGCTGTGATTATAACAAGAGAGCGGCTCAAAAGATGCCGATGTCGACGTAGACGTCGACGTCGAGCTGTAGATGGACATGTGCTATCTAACGTATGAGATAGAAGCCGGCCTTTAGCAGCGGCCCAGCTGCGTGTCTGGTCTGTGGTCGTGTGATCCAGTTGTTTATCTTTTTCATTAGCCTGGGCGGCCTGTCATCTATGCCGTCGCCTGTCGATCGTCTGTCGATTGACAAAACGCCTACCGGGCAGGTTCGCCTGCCAGCCCACCATTTACCAGGCAGCCTGTGACTTTTCCACACTTTATAGCAGATCGAACCTGCAACTGCAACTGCAACCGAAAGCTGGTAACTGGTAGCTGGTGTCGGTAGCCCTCGCTTTCGCCTTTGCCGTCGCCTTCGCCTTTGGAGTTAAGTGACTGACGCAAATTGCGCAATTCTTATTACAATTACTGCGCAACTAGCTGCCTGTTGTGGCATCGGTTGCCGCTTGGTCTGTGATCCACACGTAGCAGCAGTATACCTCAGTTGTTGCCCTGTTCCGCGTTTGTCAGTTTCTCTCTCAACTGCAGCATTTTTCTAATACTTTGTTGAACAGTAAAGATTTTGCCACAAAATTATTTGGCCTTTGGCATGGCCAGCGCCGGGGTTTCGGGTTTGGTTCTGTCTAATCGTTTGTCAGTCTCTGGCTACTTGTCTTTTTGTATTTTTTTTATTATTTTTTGTTTTGGTTTTTTTGTTAGTCGAGGGGTCTCTAAAAGATAGTCATTAGCACAAAAGATTGCTTTTGGTACGGGTGCTGCTTCTGCTTGCTGGGCGCTTAGGCGGGGTAATTACCTTTCGGGTCTCTTAGTTAATACAAAAATAAAAGAAGCTACGAGCCACAGCAATAGCAGCTAAACTGATCGTTTTGTTGAGGAAATGAAAACGTAACGAAATTAATTTGCAACGGTTCAGGCGCTCAATGGCTCATAAATGGCGTGTGGCAGCTCCCAGTTCCCATCGAGCAATCGGCCGATTGGCGGATCGACCTGGTGCCTGTCTTCATTTCAAACTGAAATAAAGTTATTAGAGTGAATATTACGTTTGGCGTCAACAGTTGTACATTGAGCTGTTGTAATAGAGGTCGGAAACGCTCGATAAATAGACGTGGAGAGATCAAATACTGAAATTAAAGTCATTCGATCTCATTTTCAGTTTCAATCATCAGCTGCTGGCTCATGACGTGCAGAAATATTTCGGTTCCAGTTTGAATGATTAGTAATTACCATCAGTGTAAATGACGCCCATTAAATTGAAGAGATGAGAGTGATAAACGGGGCTTGAGAATATTTACGATAAACTTTCCCATTAATTCAAGCATTTTCAAATGTGTCAATGATTTAAGTTAATTGTTATCAATACAGGGCTCGACTGATATAACATATCCAAGGAATAAACGTCTATATTAAACTAGGACAAGTTAAAAACCTTCAAGTGTTAAAATATATTTGTAGTGCATATGAAATTAAACGAAAATCATATTTTATACATTTTTCCATTTCTTTTTTACAGTATTATTATTAATATTATTATTATTATTTTGTTTTTTGCCATTTTTAAAGGTCTATTCAAGTAAATGGTTATAATAATGTATTTAAGTGCGAATCACCATTATATGCGAGGTTTATATTCATTTGATACTTTCCCTTTCGCTGGCTTTTTTATCTTTTCTCTCAATGTCACAATATTCTTCATAAATTAGCGAACACGACTTTTATTGATCATTGTATTTTTTCTCATTATTGTGCTCTTACATGTTTTTGTTATTAACCCTGTTTCGGCAGTGAAAAAAGCAATTGTGTGGATTTTTTTTTTAATTTTTATATATTAATACACCTAAAAATATTTTTTTATGCAGTTCTTCAATTACATAATATATGAAAGACATTCCCATTCCATATGTATAAGGAGCACAACGAAAAGTATTTCCACTTGTATTCTCCGACGATTATAATCGGCAATATTGCCTCAGTCTATATACGATAAAGACATGCAATTGCCTGGACCACTATGGTAGGGCTCTTATTGGTGGGTGGGCGTATGTAGCGCTTGCACCGCATGCATGACCAATCATATAGAAGTATATATTTATAGTTATCCACTAATTATAGCTCTGCTACATTCCATTCTCGAGCAGAAATAACAAAACAACAACTAATAACAAACCTTTCGCTTCTTCTACTCCATAACTGCAGACATGCGCCCGGCACGTTACCGATGAAGCAAGCAACTTTAATCGGACACAGACACAGGTGAGTTGTCAACCAGGGGTAGGGGTAGGGGCGGCCCATTTGGCTTGTAGGGGCTAATATGATTACTGTACTCGTGCTTGTGGGTGGTTGCATTGTGTGGCATCAGCTGAAACGCGAACATCCACTTTGATGGCGTGTGCTCTGCGTTGGAATTGAGTAAACTTTTAATTAAACTTCAAAATGATTCCGCTTTGATGAGCTCTTGGCCCGGCCCGGCCCGGCCCGGCCTGACCAAGATATCTGACTTGGGTCTCTGTTTCTTCTTGCCACAAGACAATATTATTAATTGTAGCATGTGTCGTCTGTTGTAAAACATATTCGTGCGATCACAATAAATTTTTTCTATTATAGTGCGCCCAAACAAAAAACTGATTATGAGGCAAAAGTGAAAAGTTGTAATTAAACCAGTCACTGGCTGCTCGCAGTCTTGCAAAAAACTGCAACAACTGTGACTACAGCAATAACAACGAACAACCAACGGCAGCCGCTGCAAACAGGTGGCAATCATAAAGAGTAGAAATCGCTGAAGCGACATGCCCGTTTTTTAGCTAACGCTAATGTTGTTGTTGTTGTTGTTGTTGCAGTTGCTTAGAGTACCCAACATGCGACAAGTGCACTTAATTAGTAGGGATCAGAAGGTAAAGCGAAGCGCAGGGTATGGGGGCATCTGGAACATGACCAGTGTTCCGGCAGGTAACAAGTCTAATGCTAAATTGCCCCCAGCACACTTTTTTTAAAATTTATCTTTCGTTTTCCTTTTCTTCATTTTTTTTTGGCAGCAGCACAGACCCGAAGATGTGGCCCAAACAGCGTTGGCTAGTCAACAGAGCAACTGCAGCGATACCAGAGAGCAGCAGACACCAAATAGTAGCAGTATTAGTAGCCTTTATCTTAGTCAATTGCCTAGCCGCGGCGACGGCGGCGCTTATCACACCACAGCACACGGGCAGCGGGAGCGGTAGCAGCAGCAGCAGCGGCAGCAACACCAACAGCTTTGATTACGATTCCACAAATGAGGATGACGACAGCACATCCTTGCCCAGTTTCTATCGCAGTCCACATCGCCTGGATGGCTACTATACGCCTGCGGATCTGCAGCGCAGCCAAAACTTTAAGATAAGTCCCAAGCCGTGCTCCTTTGGCCGCATCGAGGGCACCTGCATGTTCGTTTGGGAGTGCATCAAGTCCGAGGGCCAGCACGTGGGCATGTGCGTTGACTCGTTCATGTTTGGCTCATGCTGTACCCACAACTACACCGAGAATATTGTGCTGCCCCACACGGGCTTCTCATACACGAGACCCACCAAGCCCCTGTCGATGAGGCCCCGGCCGCCACCACAGCCACACAAGCCGCTAATCAGGTGGGTAAATAAAGGCGGCTCTAACCCAATTTCCTTTGAAATTTATATACCATTGATAGTACAAGAAATTTCCTCGCACACAAAAATTTTTTTTTTTTTTTGTTTAACTGCTGAAAGTAGCGCAAGCTTAGTAAGCCCAATTAATTATAAAAAAATTATAGACAATTTCGGATTTTCATTTGACTTACATATTTAAGTATACCTTTGGTTAGATACGAGCTTTAATATATAATACTTTTTCAAATGTAATAAGTGATTAACGATTTGTGACAAGAAGTAGCTAACAATAAAATTAATTTGAGTTCTGATTAAAAGAAAATAAGTAAACATTATTTTAGCTTTGCGGGTCAGAAAATAGTTGGCATAAATATTTATATATTTTGTTTTTGTATTTTTTATTCCAGGTCAAAAAGTCTGCTTAACATATTTAAACAAAAAAGATGAGCCTTTTTTATGATTAATAACAGAACTGTGTTTGAGTACTTCCACTTAAATACGTGGTGATGAGAGAATGCGTTTCCTTTAGTTAAATTATTTAATTACAAATGAATATTGTCAAATAGATGAACTATGACTAAAGCTACCTTCCGTAACATTAAAAATAAATATTTTTCATTATTTTCTGTAAGTATTATCGAATATTTGCTTCTTTTATTTATTGCAGCGGTATGACAACTATTGAACGTCCACATGGCGCTGGTACATTGGTCATTCGTCCTTCTGGTCCGGTGCATCAGGGCACTTTATCCAGGCCACATCCGAAGCCAACGACGCCGCCCGATTTGCAGAGTGCAGCCAGCCAGGCGACGAGCAGTTCGAGTGAGTATAGAGCGTGGCGCCTGTTGCATTGTTATGGAAGGCAGAGTTATGGACTCACAAACAACAAACAAACAACTAACAATTACACCAACAGATAGTATTTGGCATACATCAACGCACCAGCAGTCACCGCCGCCTCAGCAGCAGCCACAGCACCACCACTGGCACATGACCACCGAGCCAAGCTTTATTACCAGGCCGCGACCCACCGGCTGGACCAAGCCCGGCATAGTCAATTTGCCAGCAACCATGCGTCCCTCTAAGCCGGCAAAGCCCACAAAGAAACCGATTGTCTACGAGCGGCCTCCAACGCCGCTGCCAACGACAACGACGTCGACGACGACGACGACTACGACAATGATGCAGACGCGACCGAAGCCCAAACCCAAACCCATACCGACCAGGCCTCAGGTATGTAAATACGCGTCTTCATCTCTCTGTCTGCTTGCCACAATTCCTCATCCTGTGCCACACGCTCTGTGTGTGTGTGATGCATTGATGTCGAAAGCGAAACAAACGAGCGACGAGGTCATTTACTCCTCGATCAGGCTGGGATGCTCTGCTGCTCTTATGCTCTGACTGAGGCCACAGCCTTCGGGGACATTTTATTGTTTGCACAAAGCCAGAGCCTAAGCTGATGTAAGATTTGTCTTGTGCTGATGCTGACGTAGTCAAGCTGTTCGTCTCTGGGGTGTGTTGTTCTGCACTTGCTGGCAAGCGTTAGGGTATCAACAAAGTGTTCAAGTAAAGTATTTCAATTGAATAATTATTTAAGCGTTGTTAAAAAATATTTGTGTATTAACGGAAAGTAAATTTCCAGATATTTGATCAAATTTATAACATGTAGAAAGATAGAGATTATATAGAGTTTTATATATATTTTTGATTATGGTTTGGTATATAAAGATATACATTCGTATTTATGAATTTACAAAATCTACGTATATGTATATATATATATTTATATTATTTTTATAAAATACACAAATATTTGTATAGTTCAATAATTAATATGTTGTTAAATTTTTGTATTTTCCAAGACAATATAGAGGGGTTTTTCATAACCTCAGTTCGGTTATTGGTAGGTAAGGTAAGGGTATACAGACGTTGATTTGAGCAAAGTCATTTCATTTGGCCTCCGCAGAGATTTAGCAGTGGAATGAAAAATTGATTCTTTGCATGTGAAATATGTTGAGCTCCTTCGGTAACTATTAGCATAATGTTTACCACTTTTGGCTACCTTCTAGCTGTTGCCGGGCACATCATTAGTCGCGTCCTCCTCATCAACATCAGCCGTAACAACAACAACCTCAACAACGACAAAGGGCACAACGACAACAACAACATCGAAAGCAACAACCAGCACCACAACAACAACCACTAGGAAACCCACCAAGCCCGACCAGCGGCCCACCACAACAAGCACGACAACAGCTTCCACATCCTCATCTACATCTACATCCACAACGGCGGGAGCAGCGGCTGCTGTATCAACCTACAGACCACGTCCGAGTCCAACATCTCAGCAGCCCACGGCTGGCATTGAATCCAATGAGATAACGGACTCCTCCACAGACGAGGCCGGCATGCTTGGCCATGTGAAGACCATTTCAGCGGCACGCAGCGGTAAGTCCAAGTACAGCCACGCCTAATGTATTTGACACAATCCAATTGCGCATAAATATATATATGTTCATATATGTGTATGTATGTATGTGTGCAGAATGTGGAGTGCCGATGCTGACGCGTCCAGAGACTCGGATTGTGGGCGGCAAGAGCGCAGCATTCGGTCGTTGGCCCTGGCAGGTGTCTGTGCGACGCACCTCGTTCTTTGGCTTCTCTAGCACACATCGCTGCGGTGGCGCTTTGATCAACGAGAACTGGATAGCCACGGCGGGGCACTGTGTAGACGAGTGAGTACCAAGTACCAACTGCATCACACAAGCACACACACTCACACACATGCAACATTATTATTATCTAACACACTGTCCCTCTCTTTCTCTCTTCCTCTGTCTACTCATTTGCAGTCTGCTCATCTCACAGATTCGCATACGCGTGGGCGAGTATGACTTCTCTCATGTGCAGGAGCAGCTGCCATACATTGAGCGCGCCGTATCGAAGAAGGTGGTGCATCCCAAATACAACTTCTTCACATACGAATACGATCTGGCACTGGTTAAGCTGGAGCAACCTCTAGAATTTGCGCCGCATGTCAGTCCCATTTGTTTGCCCGAAACGGAGAGTCTGCTGATTGGCATGAATGCCACGGTCACTGGCTGGGGTCGACTCAGCGAGGGCGGCACACTGCCCTCGGTGCTGCAGGAGGTAAGCAAACTGGCAACAAATCGCTGTCATATTTTCTCACTCACACTGAATGCAGGTCTCTGTGCCCATCGTGAGCAACGACAATTGCAAGTCCATGTTTCTGCGCGCCGGCCGCCAGGAATTCATTCCAGACATCTTCTTATGCGCTGGCTACGAAACGGGCGGTCAGGACTCGTGCCAAGGCGACTCAGGTGGCCCACTGCAGGTAAGCCTAGTCCCCCTATCTTAATTAATCACAATATTATGTTCAACTGAAATTCCCGCTTTCTGCAGGCCAAGTCGCAGGACGGACGTTTCTTTCTAGCCGGCATCATATCCTGGGGCATTGGCTGTGCCGAGGCCAATTTGCCGGGCGTTTGCACACGCATCTCCAAATTCGTGCCCTGGATACTGGAGCATGTGAGATGATAGCTGCATCTGTATCGTCGATATGCTCAGCTCTTGTTATTGTTTTAAATTATTAAATGTATGTTTTAAGATTGTGTGATTTTAATTTAAATGAATCTTAAGCTTAGTTAGCTTCAATTTAACAATTTGCATTGACCGCACACACTTAGTCAGGCCCACTAAGTTAGTCTAGCAAAAATTGTCTTTAAGTTGTCTAACATATGGATATATATAAATTATATAATTGCATCAATATGTGTATATATATAAAAACAGAAAAACAAAAACAAAAATGAACAAAAAAAAAAAAAAAAAAAAACGGAACAAAACAAAAAGTCATTTTCGTTGTAAAGTTGTTGGTATATTAGTCTAGGCATTAATAATTAATTAAATCTATTTAACTTATGAAACAAATCGCATACAAACATCATTATGTTGTATCTTGCCCAAAGAACAAGTTTATTTATAAAGATGAGCTCAAATAAATCTATTGACAATATATTGTAAATTTGTGAAGAAGAAAAATAATTCATTCAATATATAGCTGAAGTGTCTAAATATATATTCCTTAAAGGTGAAATAAATTGAAAAAAAAATTAATCTTTTATATATGGTAACAACCTGCATTTCCTTCCGAATAATTTAATGATGTGCTCTATAAAACCACATTATTATTATCATTATCCACAACAAATTAAATGTGTCTAGACTGGACCCATTACTGATCAATCTACCCTCGCTGCGACAATTACATGAACACATAGTATATAGCATACAGCAATTATGCATTATCATTATTACAATCTTCAATTGAGATGCTTCAGCTTCAGTTTCCCGCAATGGTCAAGTGCGTAAATGATGAACAACAATTGCAGCTAACGGCAGCCTCAATTTCGATCCATTCATTAACTTCTCAGTGATCGAGTGGGAATGATTGGCAGAATCGCAATGGAGTATGAGTACAAGTACGAGTTCGACTGAAGACTTCGCCAGCTCACAGTACAGCAAAATTTCACTTTTTAGCCGACGACATTTGACACCAGTTTGAATATTCAATCAATGGCCAAACAATATAAGCGAAAATCTGTCCGTGGTCCACTGAAAAAAACAAATTTATGCTCAACTTAAGTTTATTGCTGATGGCACAGTGGGCCAACAGAGTCAACAGAAAGTAAGTAAGCTGCTACACACATAAATATATGAATGATCGGAAATCGTGATTCGACTGATATAATAAAATTTGACTAAAATCTTAGCAAAGCTCAGTTGGATCGTATTGCTTGCGTGTTGCTTATGTTTACTTCTTCTTGGGGAAGATTGTTTCCTTAGCCTCGTCGATTAGATCTATTGCCAGAAACTTGAGATCCTTCAGAGTTGTGGGGAACTTCTGAATTGGCTCGATGGAGACCTCCTCGCCGGGCTTCACGCCTTTGATGAAGTTGTAGGCAACAGCAAATATCTTGCGCCCCTCGTACAATACAATGCGCACATTCTCCTCCGCCTGGCGTGGATAGCAGAGTGACGCAACAGTGCCAGCGCCAATTGTGGTGTAAAGCACTTTCTTAAAGAAACCGCCGCGAGCAGCAAATATAAAACCAGCTAGACCACCCATCACAATCGCTCCACTGCGGTGCATCGAGTTCTGTGGCTCGTTCAGAAAATCAATGGAACGTTGCGTGTGATCTTTCGCCGTATTATAATAGTCGCTAACGATGGCAGTCTGTTCGCCTAATACCTTACAGCCCTTTCCCACTTCTTGCCGAACATAACGGACGCCGTCTTCCAGAGTATTCTGCAATGGGGAAATTGTCGGCTTGTGCTCCGGATGTTTCTGTGGCCTGCATGTTGATAGATTTAAAAACATAGATATATGTATATCAGAACACAGTAAATGCACTTACTCTGACGCATGCAAGGAACCGTAGATCGGCAATTCACTTGGTTTACACACAAGCGAATCTTTCGGTGGTGGATTTCCACCGGTGGGAGCTACGGCCACAGCTGCAGCTAACATCGACGCTTTGCGCAGCATTGTTTTTTTTCCTTGTTAACCTGAATGTGATCTTGGTGAAGCGTCTGCAAATTTAACGTTATTTGTAACATGAATTTATAGCTTGTCAAAAATTTGTTTGCCTTTTACCTTAGATTGTTTCATACATTGCGTAATGTGTCACCGGCACGTTGCGATTGCTTGACAAGAACAGCATGTCGGCGAACACACAGCTGTTTGTCATTTAGCTGCATCTGGCAACGCTGTAGAAAAACTGTTTTATTCAAATAAATGGAATTATATGCATGTGTCCCTAATTAACTGCCACTAGCTCTCAAAGACAACAAATACCTTACAATAAATGCATATAGTATTATATTTGGGTATTAAAATCATTCAGGTTACTTGTAAGACACAAATTTGTTACTCCTACAGTTGGTATAATTTGCTCACTGTTAGGAACAGCGAATGTTATGCAGTTATTTTTACATTGCTGTTATCATTAGGGTGACCATCGAACGATGGAAGAAGCAGACATTGTTGTGCTGCTACCTGGTCTCGCGATTTGCGAGAAAAGTAAAATAGAGATAAGATGAAATAATTTGTACATGATTACTTAAAATTCCATCACCAAAGTCCAGGATGCACTTAATGTGACGCCAGCAAGTGAGTGTTCCGATCATATCCATTAACAATTTGCAAGACTTTTCGTTGACATTTCTTAACATAACGCCTTACACTTGTGTTTGATCGAAAAATGAAAAACGCTCGGAAAGAAGTAGAAAAAAGATAAATAAACCCTTGGAATTGATAAGCAACAAACAATTAGCAATTGTCAGCTATTGCTACCAAAGTACTATAATCCCAAACTCAATACTGCACTGCAATCAGAGTGAAAGTCGAAACGTTAGGCGTGTGATAAAAATTTCCTTACCTACCGACCACCCACTGCTTTTGCGATTTGTAATGTTATCAGTGCTCGAGGCGCGCTAAAAACGCCTACAAAAACAACAATTGAAGCAACAGCGACTGCTTAGGAAATTCCGAAGGACATTCGATGTAAATAGTAGTGGAAAAAGAGTGTAAATAAATAAGATTACTTATTCATTTTAATTTTGTCTATTATTTATGCAGTTGAAGTTGCAGTGGCAGCAACGGCCAGCGGAAGCGTCGAACGTGCACACAATTCCAAAAAGCAATTAATGGGGGCCATGAACCAAAAAGAACAACTGACAAACAGCAGCAGCAACAACAAGCACAACTGACTAACGGACAGAAATCCGTTTAAAAACAAAGAAAAATAGAAAAAATTAATATTTAATTTTACCAACTGAGCAATAAAAACTAGTCATAATTCATATGGAAGCGACCGCAAGTTCCAAGTTCAGGTCAGTATTATCAAAAATGACCACATATTCTCATATGATTATAGTTTAGTGCTTAGTAATGACAGGTATTTCAATATATTTCAGCGATGTGGACGAGTACGGATTTAAGCGTGGCGATAAGTTCGATTACAAGTTCTATGGGAAGTTTATGGATGGTTATTTAAAGATATTGACGCGCCGGCGAATTAAATGGGAGAATTTACTTCAACAGAATCCGGATTTCAGGCTGATAAGTCCGAAATTAAAGCGATATATACGCAAGGGCATACCAGGTCCATATCGCGCGGATGTTTGGATGAAAATTAGTGGTGCCGATGAAGCAAAGCAACGAAATCCTAACCTTTATCATAGTTTATTAAATATCGAGCATTTCAACAAAGAAATCTGCGATTCCATATCAATCGATCTACCTCGAACGTTTCCCGACAATATTCACTTCGATGCCAAGAAGGAGCGCCTCTTTAACATACTCTGCGCCTATGCGCATCATAATCGAGATGTTGGCTACTGCCAGGGTCTCAACTATATAGCCGGCCTGCTGCTCATTGTCACCGATGACGAGGAGAAGTCCTTCTGGCTGCTGAAGCATATCGTTGAGAATATAGTGCCGCAGTATCACTCACATAATATGGCCAATCTGTTGCGAGACTTGGCTGTGTTCAGGGAGCTGGTCATAAGACGTGTGCCGGCTGTTAACCGACACGTGGAAGACATGAGTAAGTAAAGGATATCGCTAAGCAAGCACAATATCATATCAACCTTTTTAAAATATTCTTTGCTTTAAACAGATTTACCCTATGCGGTGATAGCCAGCAAATGGTTCATTTGCATATTTGCCGAAGTTTTGCCCGTGGAAACTGTGCTGCGAATATGGGATTGTGTTTTCGCTGAAGGTTATAAGGCAAGTCGTGGAATATGAGCTTTAACAATGTATAATAATTGCATATGTATTTGCAGATTGTATTTCGCGCAGCTTTGGCCATGTTCATTACACATAAGAATGATATATTGCGCTGTGACGATATTGCGGCACTAGCCACCATGTTTCGCGATCATATGATTCAGGATAATATAGTCACCGACTGCCATAGCTTTGTAGAAGCCATGTTTTCCTTGCGTTTGAAACGCAATGAGGTTGAGAGCTTGCGCAAAATAGCTGTGCTAAATGGAAACTAAGCAGTTAATCAAAATAGAACAAAAAGTAACAAGAGAAAAGACCCTCATCAAAAATAATATGGAAACAAAAGAAAGCAATCGTAAAATTCAATTATTAGAGATGTAGCTTATATGTGTCCAATCCATATAAATATATGTAATATTTTACGTGTGTATTTGTGTATAGCCTCATAGTAGCCAATGTATTTTGAGTATTATTCGAAACAAAACTAAATATGATACCAAAGTTAAATTCCAATTCGATAAACAAGCAAATCTAATTACATAGACTCATATGTACAATATCGATATGTATGTGTACATATGTGTCTGTGCGTTAATAGTAGTTGTTGCCAAAATGTAAGCAGAAAACATACATACATATGTAGATATAATGTATATCAATCGCCTATATACGCCACATACAAGTATTTGTTATGTATGTCTGTAAATTTAAAACGTTTAGTTTCTTTGGTGTGCTGTTATTTTCATAGTTTATAAAAAATATTTATTTTGTAGCATATATTAATATATACTTTATATGATGCTGTGTTTTGTAGAAAATTTCTAGATTATATATGAATCTATTTTATAAAAAGCTTTTCAATTATTAAATACTTGCGAAAGCCTGTTAGTTGATTGCTATGTACAAACAGACAAATACGAAGACCTCACTATAGCTATTTACTATGACGTTTGTATTTATAGTTTGCCAATGAGCACGTTGCAATACTCACTGTCTACACTGATACTATATATATATATATATTTATATGTATATCCTGAAATATAATTTGAGGAATTGATTTGTTAACACATGCCTTTTAGGCCAAACTCTACGAACCAGCGAACAAATGTAAACTTTAAATGATATGAAGTGTCGTTTGATTAGTGCAACTAATATGCTTTTTAAATAAATATTACTGCTATTTGTTAGATAATGAGATCGTCTTTTATTAGTATTTCAGGGAAGACATATTTTGGATACATAATTTACTAAGCATTCCTACAATATGCATACTTTTCGGAGTTAAGTATGCAGGCATAAAATCTCATTGGAATTTTATGCCGGAAATATTGATAAACTATTTTATTGCTTATATCTGCTTAAATTAAAAAATAATTTAATATATATATATTTTAAGTAAGTCCAGAATCACTAACTTTCTGCTCGAGATCCAATGGGAATATTTTCAATATTCCTTGAATAACAAAAATTTGTTGGCAAAAACAAATTGCTTATTTTAACGAATCGCAGTAAGCTTATGGCATACCACAATGTGCACCGCACATTGGCTCCGAAGACAATGCTAGCGATGTGAGGAGGGTGCGTCGTCCTGGATGGACGCCCAGATTCTCCCAATTGATCCAGGAGAGGCGTGCCGTTAGATCACTTGTATTCCAATTGGCTCGGTCGGCTTTGATTTCGCCGCGTAGACATTTCTCCACATAGGTCAGTGGATCGTAATCAGTTTGGAGCACCTCACGCAGTAGTGATATGTAGGCGATGGCCAAGCGCAAGGTATCGATTTTGCTCAGACGTTTCTCATAGGGAAATGTGGGCACATGGACCCTCAACTCATCAAATGCGGAATTTATACTACTGCAGAGCGCAAAAAATATATAAAGAAGGATAGTGGAAGAGAAAGAGAGGGAGAAAGAGAAAGAAATGCTCATTAGCTCTTGTTGTAGGCAATGCAGGGCATAGCTAAGTGTGCAATGGAAAAGACCATTTAGTGTACCCAGTTGGTGCGGACCTCTGGATGCGTTTCCTTTCCCGCACATTTGCTTGTTGCCGTTGGATTTTGTAACTGGACGCAGCGGCTGCACCATAGCTTCCACTCGAGGCTCCTCCTGCTGTGCTAGGTCCTGGACCACCTCCGCCTCCGCCCCCGCCACCGCTTGCAACTCCATTACCCCCACCGCCGCTACTGGTCGCCGTTGGACTATTGCACATCATTGGTGTGGCATTATTTGAGTTCAGAGACACCAGATTATTAGAATTTGTAGATGAATCAAGCATGTTTTCTAAAATGAAATAATAATGAATTATTACACTATGTTGTTGATTAAACTATGCAACAACAAATATACCACAGATATCTACGGATTTGATTCCGAAAGGATTTATCTGTTGATATTCAGTGTGGAAAAAATTACATGTATTAAATATTCTAAACTTATTATTAATGAGCCATGTGAATCAATATGCAACATTAATGAAGTCTTAGGAAGAGCTTCCACTACTTGAATTCAGTCCTATGCCATAATTGTATTTTCTTCTCTTAATATACTTTCTATTATTTTATCCCGAATTGAGAAATCTTGTTCTATATTCGATATCTATTAAAATGATCTTTTTCAAATCACTTCACTTTTCCAACAATAACAAGGTTCGTTTTTTCGAAGTTTATATTATTTAGGTTTTTATGATATGATTGAAAATTGGCATTTATCGTATAAGTTAAATCAATTTTTTTAGTGGTCTCAAAAAACTATATAAATAATTGTATAAAATATTTAAATTTACATACCATTGCCCTGATGCAAATAATGCTGTTGAATATGTCTCAAATTGCTGGAATTAAGACGCAAACCGGAGCTTCCGCCGCTAGCTGCACCGACCCCACTCTGATGTTGACCCGCATATATGCAGGATGGCAGCTCATTGATTAAATCATCGTCAAAATTGTGATATGGTAAATGGCTGTTGGTAAAATTTATGATTTTAAAATCAGTTTCAAGCGCCGTCGGGAAACACATTTTTCATTACACATTGCAATAATAAATAACAATATCAAAATTATTCTTTCACTTTTTATGTTTTGACAGCTTCTCACCTTATAGGAGGTGATGAGGATGAATCTGGCAATTGATTCCGTGACATTTTAGTTAACTTCTTTATTCAATTTATTGATTTTGTAAAATCTAATTAATTTATTACACCTTAAGCTTAAACCTAATATACGCGCGGGCGATGTCCAATAAGTTTAAATGTGTAATGAGAGCATCTCCAGGGAATTCAGAGCCTTTTATAGCATCGTCGATCCAATTGGAAATACCGCAGCTCTGCTGCTTCGTCTGTGTGCCTGTTTGCATGTGTGTACTCATCAACCCCTAAATGTCCTTGCAACTATTCGCCGTGGCTTCTGAGGGGCGGAGCTTGTCAAGTACTACAGGGTGTTTTCGCACAAGGCAATTGCTTGTCGGAAGCTGTGAGAAAATAATAAGGCATATTTGTTCAATGAAACCTATGACTGACTAAATTTGATATTTTCAGACCTAATTGAAGATTATATATTATGTAAAGGTTAAATTTGATATTTAAGCAAAATAAGAATATGTAAACTGATTATCCACAAAATTGTAGTTTTTTATATACATAGACTCTATTTTAACAATGTGTACTATTAACTAAACTAGAATATCCAAATTTTTTTCCTGTTTTATGTAGTGCACATTCCGGTCTTCATAACCGAAAGCAACCTTATCATAAGTTGTTTTTTCTTCTTCTTTGTATACCTCACCTGTTTTTGACATTTTGCCATTATATTGCTCACAGCAGGCAGCCGCCATGTTTTTCTGAAAACAGTGTGGGAGGTAGACCCCCAGAAGTAGACAGCCGTCGATGGTGGTATCTCTCTCTCTAAATTTACCCCAGCAAAAATATGGATGCGAGGTAAAGCTCTCTGCTGGGCTGTTAGTAATGTGAGATCAACATGATGGCGCCTCGTTTTGAAAGTTGATCGGAGCTCAACCTGTTGACATTTTAGGCGTCGAGTAGGAGGGTTACTCGAAACAGTGAGATTCCCACGAGATGACAAATTGTGTGAGAGCTTACAACAATTAGATCACATCGCAGAGCAGTCCGTTACAGTTTACAGCTCATTAAACGAATGCCGCATTCTCACTATCTCAGTATATATATAGGGAGACATATCCATTCATGTGTCTATCTGTATCTGTATCGGACAGAGCACCACTTGAAACCGCAGACAGTCAGAGCAATTGTTGAAATTGAATTATGTTTATTTGATGTTTTGGTTTACGCACAAATTAGCAACGTCAGAGCTCTCGCCCCGCCTCGGCGGGCGACCAGGTCACGTGCGTTAACCCCGAGGCGCGAAAAACCAGCTCGAGGCAAAGTCGAACAATGAACAAACAATATGTCAGGGCGGATGCGGATGCGCAAACCTTTTCATTACCAGTCAAATTGGTTTGGCACACACGCGCCGGCGCACACTCCGCGTCACAAAGACCTGATGACAGTAATCAGTTTTGATGCAGGGTAAGTGTCCAGGATACCGGTGCAGGCCCAAAGCTGACATCCTTAAGTGAAATCTTGTTACAAACCAATGTAAACACGATTGTTAATTTAACTTTGGCAATTGCTCTAGCTACCCTCGACTGAACATCGTTCACCTACTATTCTTGTTGTTGTTTCCATTGTGGTTGTTGTTGAAGTGGAAGTAGTTGTTGTTGTTGTTTCCATGCGGCGGATATGTCATTGGACCACAATTAAATTATCGCATTTCAAACGAGTGCGCCCGAGCGACGCGATTATCGCCAATGCACACATCCACTTGGACTTGATCCGACTGTGGGAAAGAACGGAAATAAAATTTACTCTCATTTGATTTGCATATTATCGTACTTGTCGCCTGTCATACCAAATAATTGGCCATATACAGATACTTATTTATTTTGAAAAGGATTAAAATAGGATTTCTATTTGTATTGGGTCAAGTTAAAAAAGGAGTTCCAACAAAATAAATTTTATATTTTAAATTATAAAAAAAAAAAAAAAAAAATCAAATATAAAATTAATCGGCTGATATTAAAGTAAAGTACATTTATTATTTTAAATGTTTTAAAACAAATTTTTACAATGATTATATAGATATGGATTTTGAAATCAGCTTTTTGTGAATTTCTCTTAAGTCATTTTCCTTTCTATTTCCTCTTATTTTCCCGTGATAAATAAAATAAACGTTTTTTAATCCTAAGACACTATATAACTGTTATTCAATCCAATTGCTTCAAGCCATGTTCGCATAATTCAATTCAAGGGTCGACTCGTAGCCAACTAAAAATAACAACAACAAAAAACAGATTGATAGTGTCAAACGTTTTTATGGTGTACTCAACTGGAGCAGCAGCCATCAAACACACTCTCATTCGCACACACTCCAAGCATCCCTAACTGTTATCCTGGCCTTCGACTCACTATGTGGATAAAGGACTTACGTCTGGAACATATCGATTAGTGCATTGCATCCACACCAGAACAAGGCCAGGGAAAATTTGTCTGTGAATTTGTACGCTGACACACGACCAGCAAAGCGCGAATACTTTTCCACAGGATAATCCCACCCCACCTCCAGTGCTAAACTAAGGACTAACCCCTCCCTCAACCGTCGACCGCAATTCGTTGTAGCTGCTTGAACTGCTTGAAGCAATTGTCTGCGAAATTGTTTGTTTATTTTGATGTTGTTTAATGCGTGCTAAATCTCTGCCCTATTATGCGGTTATGGTCGAGCAACATCCTGGGAAAAGTAAACAGCGTCGATGCGAGGTGAATTCCAACGAGGATATTACGAAAGCTTTCACATTCGTGCTTTTCGGTTTGAAACCCATCTAACTTTCGCTTTTGGGGTAAGTTCTTGGGGTAAAGTTTGGCGCGGCAGAACTTGAAGACCTCAATTGAAATCTAATCTCCTGTTTTTCAAAAATATACAGACCAACTACAAACACACGTATATCTGATTTAATAATTTTGATATCGGCTGATATATTCAATAGACAACAAGCTGACAATGAACACCATGGCATTTATTTTTACGATCGTTTTATCTTTGAATTGGTTTTTGTTGAAATCAGTCTAATCTATATGATGAAAGTAGACACTAATAATTAAATTTTTTGTCTCTTTAAATTAAATTAAATTATTAATTTCCTTATTTCAAGAGTAGTTGAACATGCGTCTTAAAATTGTTATGTAAATAATATTATTTAATTTTACTGCGTAAAAAATTTCTTTATCTCAATTTTACGTAAAATTAATTGCGTAAAAAATTACTTCATCTCAAACATTGGTCATCTTTTGTTTGATATTCGCAAACAACGCATCACTTATTTGGATAAGGGTTAGCTCCTACTTACTAAACATTTGCAAGTAGTATATTATGCCATCCATAACCTCGGGGTTATTTCAGTTCACCGCGACGTCTGGCGATGTTATTCAGCTGTCAATTAAATTCGTGACCGTGTTTCATAGCAAGTGCTTTGTTTTGATTTTTTGTGATAAACAATTGGGAGTCGCTTTAAATATATTCAATGAACGTGTAAATACATTTTAATGCGCCAATCCCACAACAGCAGCTCCCATCCCAGTCAATCCCATTCCAATTCCATCCGATTTCCAATCGAAGAGCTCTTACCGCTACCCACTCGCAATTATAATATCAGACCAAAACAAACACAACAAAAACCGGCAGCAACACAGCGAATTTATCATTATATTTTTTTAGCGACTTTTTTCTTTTTTTGGGCTACTCGATTCAACTGTGCGGCTCAATGGCCAGAGACGGAACTGAACGGAGGAGAAGAGAAGTGAAGCGACTTTAAGGCTGGTCAGAGCAGCGTTTAGTAAGTCAGTTGGCCGCTGTCCGTTGCACAGTTCGCACGTTGCGCAAAAAAATATACGTACATATATGTATAAACAAAAACGGCGACAATTCTCGTAAATAAATGGCTAAAAATATTCAAGCAGTGGCAGACCAAAAAATAATACAAAAAATAGTTACAATACAAGCAACGCCCCAATCGATTCATTTTTGCAAAAGCTAATAAAGTAAATCCCAACAAATGCCAACACGTTTGCCCAATTTGGAATATGCAGTGCGGGCTATTGAAACGTGATATATGTGGGACAAGTGCGCAATCCTAACTACGGCAACTTTTAGCAAAGTGCTTCTGATTAAGTGTCGTGACGTATGCGTAAGTGGAGGGCTTTAGATATAGAGCAATTCACTAGTCGCCTACTTGCCAGTAGCAAGCTGGTCGCATGGTCAAGTGCCGGTGATAAGCGCACACGTTGCTGATAAGACGGGGGCGCCAAGTCGTAAAAATAAACTGAAATCAAAGCTCAAACTAAGCATTCTGAGCATAATACAAATAATAATAATTAGTTACTGATCATATACATGATTTATAAACAACAAAACGACCAAAAACAATAACAAAGCCCACACAAAATGCCAAGACGTCAGAGCGACGCTTGCTTGGCCCATGACATCGCAGCTGGTATGGAACGGGAACTTGAACTAGAATTGGAACTGGAGCTGCAGCGGCCGCTGCTGTCGTCGAAGGAGCAGGCCAAAAGTGAGTACCACACACGCGCCATTACCTAGGCACCGGGCTATTAAACCAGTTAAGTTGGTCAAACAAAACCAACTGGCACACACCCAAATACATACACACACACACACACACATACATACACCGGTCTTAGCCATAAATCAGTGACATTTGCACACTGCAAGTGCTGCCCGCTTATGAAGCTTAACTGAGCTGCAGGCGGCTCGCTTTTTGTTCTAATCAGAGTCGAATACGAAATATTTGTCATTTAATTTATGAAAATCGAGTAGCGGCCAGAAATCTAATTAGAATATGCACAAGCACACTTATACATACTCACACGTCCATATATATAGCAGAGCTGATATCACGCCGTGCAGAATCTTAATCAATGCCTCATCTCCAGCTGCGCATTCTTTTCATTGAATAACATATAAAATCAACAAACGAATTGTTATTTATTTAAGTGTTAATCATTAATAAGCAAAATGCTCTTCGATTTCGATCTGCAAAAACAATATTAAAGTTTATTATACATTTTTATAAAAACACACTAAAGGCAAAAAGTGGAAAGGCAAATTTTATCGCATGCAACTTTTATCGCATGCGAGCATTATTTTGGATAAGCCTAAAAACCAATATATTAGGCTAATTTTATTAAGTTTACTCATTATTTGATTAAAAAATATATTTAGTGATTCATTAGCCCAGAAAAGTTTATATTTTTTATCTTAATAAATAATTTCCGTGCGAACAACAGGATGTTCTATGACTAACAATTGCTTGCCAATCAGCGTACCATGCCTTTTTTGGAAGTTAACAAATAATAGAATTTATTGTGCATTTACAAGTATGTGGTATACCTATATAAATAATCACTTAGAGTATGGCCAATAAATACTATTAGCTTTTGAAACCTGTATATTATCACAATTGAATATTCGCTTTGGAGATGTTTTACTCAATTAGCGACACCTAAAGCAGTTAAACAGTGTTAGCCCTTTGTTCTTGGATTGTGTGAAAATGATAAATAAATAATAGCCCTTCTTAAAAAGTCGTTTTCAAGTAAATATTAGTTCAGAAGTTGCAATCAATAAAATACAGGCTATATGAAAGAAACGCTGCTGCTGCACTCAGAAAATAATTATATGATAAATATGAATATCATTATTTTGTATCATTAATGGCGTATTTTCTAAATGCCAATTTATTGTCAACGTATTTTATAATGGTTTTATTTTTAACATTTTCTACTTTGTGCGAGTAAAGTGCTAAATAAAATATATTAACAATGGGTCTATTACTCAGCTCAATGTAATACAATTTCATATGTTTAATCACATTTATATATCGGTGTTTCCGCCTTTTGTCACAGTTTTATCATAGTAAATGAATATTTCCATTAAACAATCGTCATACTCATCAACAAGATCACTCACCACAACAATAAAAAAAAAAGAAAGAAAAATACAGAATACCCCGAAACAAATAACTATACAAAAATGTCAACAAATTGTCAGCATTTTTTTGATGATCTTTATCAAGCAAATTGTCACTGAGTGTCGTCGCCCAGCGATCGGTGCTGGCCACGTGCCGGCTAATGCCAAATAGACTGTTACTATAATTATAGAGAGAGTGAGAGGGAGCGAGAGAAAGAGAGAGAGAGAAAGAACATGAACCCATTGTACATTGAACTATATATGTAGATGGGGCACGTTGTAGAGCCGCTAAGCACTAAATGTAACTTTGACGCGAAACGCATTTCTCATATGCATATTGATTTATTTTTAGTGCATAATATATCACACGTCAGCAATTGTTTTTGTCAGAAGAGTACATACTCTTTTTGTTGAAGACCAAATTACAACCAACAATAATAAATTATGTCCTTCCATCACAAATTCTGAATACTCAACGAATAGTTAACAGAATAATAATGCCTATATATTGTTTTTATAAAACAAAAATAAGTTCAATATTTTGATTCATCAAATTAAATGGAATAGCTCACAAGCTGTCAGACAATTGTAGTGTATCGGTTTGTTGAGTAAAATAATGCCGGCGATTAAGTAACAACAGCAACAGTTTTTCGCGCCAAGCGAGGCGAACTAAGAGAGAGCACACTCGAAGAGAACGAAATGCGAAGAGAGAGCGCGCAGCTGGTGCAGTAACAGCAGCAGCAGCTGTTAGTTAGAACGCCGACGTCGACGTCGACTGCCAAAGAATGGTCTTAGCGCAGCATCTGCGACCCCACAGCAATTGCCGCTTTCGCTATCGACGGCGTTAACGTAGCCACCAGCGCTGCTAGCGTTGCACAGTGGGTCAGATTCATGTTTGCACTACTAAAGTTGCATAGGCTAAAAAGCTAATAGCATACAGTTTGCTTAGTAAATATATTGATTAATATTTTTATATTATGGTTAAGACGTATTGTGTTAAAATGTACACCTGTTCTTACCCATAAATTATTAATATAAGTAATTGTGGATAAAATATGAGTTTTCACGTAAAATCCATTAAGTGCTATAAACATTTTGTTGAGATATTCTGTGCTAAAATTCTAACATTAAATGGGTTTGACTGACTTAAGCAAAAAGGAAATTTGTTTTCAACTGCGAGAATTGGCCGAGAAACCACAGTACTTGGTCGTTGCGTGCAGGAGCAAAAGTTATAAAAGTTCTTCGCAATTCGCACGAGCGCTCAGTTGCTCTCGGTCATTCGTTGTGGTTGTGTGAACTTGTGCCGCAGCATCATCAGCAGTAGCAACAGCAGCAACAGCAACGACAACGACAAGAACAACAGCAGCGGACAGAGACGACATTGTCGCCATCGTTGTCGCCATCGACATCGACATCGCATAGAGAATCAGAATCATAAGAAGCAACAGCAGGAAGAGTTTTTTCGTGTGAGCAGCCAAAGACAAAACGTTTTGTGGGTGCGTGAGTGCGCATAGTATAAAATTAAATAAATAAATTAAACAACAGCGGCAGCAGCAGTAGTGACAATAATAACAACAACAACAAATGCGAGCTCGGCAACAATATTATTATATCCAAATACACACAGACATACAAGCACATAAAAATATATACATACATATATACATACAAATATGTGCCATTATAGAAATACTTATACTTATAGTTGTTTTTGTTATAAGTAATAGACTGAAGGCGACCCGGTAATGTTTGGACAACTATGACGAGATTTGCTGTTAAATAGAGCATAGTAGACGTCTCGCACACACACACACATACACAACAACAACAAAAATAGTAATAGAAGCAAAGATTTCTTGCATCACTTGGTTTTTGGTCAAGAGCCATAAGCTAATAATTTTTTGTTTTTATATATGCTTAGTGTCCCCCATTAACTTGACTATTAGCTAAAACAAATTGTGCTCGTCTAAAATTGCATGTAGCTGTAGTTGTTGATAGTTTTATTATATTGTTTTCTCGCTTGCATTTGTTTTCCAAACTGCACTTCGCTGTCGTTTAAGCGAAGCGCGCGAAAATATTTCGTTTGTCTCACCACGCGGCGTATGAGTAACAAATGCGAAATTGATTCTCTCGCGCCCGCTCACTAGCATTCATTAACGAAATCCGCAATTGCAAATTACAGTTGCATTTACGATTCGAGAGCACTGCGACTGCAACACACAGCTCGCCGCAAACATAGTAGACAATAATAAATAAACAAAAAACAATTTTGTCTTGGCTTACGCCTCGTATGCGTAATGTCATGAACAATGCAAAACGCTTAACTCGTCAAAGGTTCATTATACGAGAGGAGCAACAAAGTTACGGGACAGTTGGTTCTACGTGTCTGCTTCCGTTTGGTGCGCTTTTAAAAATTGATCAACGCAACGAGCAGTGAAACGCGACAAGGCGGGTAACGGATTTCCGCGCCAGGGCATCGAAACAACAGCACCCGAAAGCGGGATAAGGAAGTCAGGCAGGCAGGCAGGCTACAGCAGTAGCACAGCATCGCTTTGGTGCCAATTGTGCAGCAGAACGCGTTTCTGGATTAGCCCGAGTCTAGCAGCAGCAGCAGCAGCAGCGACAGCAACAGCAACAGCAAGAGCAATAAGGTAAGCTCATTACGAGGCACTGCCAACATCGCCATGTTGACAGCAGCAGCATACACATTGTGTCCTAGCTGTCCTTATGCTTAGAGCAGCTCCTGATGCTTGCATGGCTCGCGGATATGCCGCCAGCGGTGTTTGCTTTGCTTTTGTTTATTTATTTGCCTGTTTGTCTATCCGTCTGTTTTTCTATTTTATTTGGTGTCTTTGTGTGTATGTGCGAGATGGTGTGTACGTGGGTGTGTTTGTGTGTGTGTGTGCATTAGAGCAAATAGCGCTAGCAAAAATAACAACAGGAACAACAATAAGGATAACAACGACTACAAACAACAACAATGACTTTATCTTGACAGATTGCAGAGCAGCTGCCTGAACTGTGTGTCCACGTGTATACGAACATTTTTATGTATTTTCTGTACATATCATATATACCCTTTGAATGGCATATAAATATAAAATATAAAATAAATATAAATATAAATGCTACAGCTACTTGCATTCGCAAGTTTTTCAACTCAATGCTTGCTCTTAAATATGCTTGTATACGACTTATAGAACTATTTGGCTTATAAACCTTTGTTGCGACAATGGCAGTTACTTAAATAAAAATTAAAAGAAATTTTAAAAAATAATGCATATTAAACAATTGCACTAAACTATATTATACTTCATGTTGTCGTGTCGTTAAAACCGAGTCATCATTGTATTATTTTATATGAGATTTTTTCCAAAAATATGTCTGCACATCGCATTGTTTCAAGATATAATTGTTAAAAATCTGAAATATTTTTTGTTAACGCCATATCATAAAAAAATCATAATAATTATAATATATAAACTGCGCAGTCATAGTTGCTATCAACTTTTTCAAGCAATTGTTCCAAGGTAAACTATTTAAAAGAAGAATTTCAATAAGTAAACATTTACAAAATAATGTAAA